CCCTTAAGCCAAGTTTACCAGGAAATGGCTTCAGTGTCGAAAGAAAACATTATTTAATATATTATTTTTAATCCCTGTGGGGCTTGTCTTTGTTGTAAGTCCTTGAAGAATCAGATGAAACCTTTAGATCTGTTCACTTGGATTAACTTAAAAAGATGTTTGAGAGATGCCATTTATAAAGGTTTACCTTTGTTCTCAGGCACACTCTGGGGTACCTTTTTCAGATCACAAAGTACGTATAGACCAACTTCTGTTTTGTTACACACGTGTATAAACAAACCAGGCAATGCTTCACCATGTACAGCTGTGGCCAAACCTGTTCTGTGTGTGTGTGTGTGTGTGTGTGTGTGTGTGTGTGTGTGTGTGTGTGTGTGTGTGATATAGAGGGCGTGGCAGTGGCAGGCTGGAGCTGTCCACACACAGGGCCATGCAGCAGTTGGCAAATAAAGATGAATTCTGTTTTGTTTGGCAGCGGTTCTCCGTTCATTATTTTCCACTTTGCCCAGCGCGCATCCCAGACCTCAGCAGCTGCTTGTCATGTAAAGACACTCTATCAGCCCCTGACAGCTCCTCCCATGCACGCACACACAGTACGCATGGCTCATACACACTTCACTTGCGCTCACCAGCCCCCCTCTCACAGTCCTACATATGTGGAGAACATATGTAGTGATCTGTCTCACTACCATGCAACTCTTTGCACACTGCGTAGCTTTCTCATCCCCTCTAGTTCTCTCATCTCTCATCTGGTGTCAAATCAGTCTTCCTATTCTTCTGTCCTTCCCCTAATTTGGTTGAGTTTAGCCACATGTCTGCTGTCACACTTGACTTGTATTAGAAGAGCTTTGATTCCGGTACACAGATCGTTTAGTGGATTTCCTCGTAGCGAAGTTTGTCTGTATGTGCCTTAGCAGTTACAGTCAGACCTGACACTTGAAAGAGGTTTTATCTTATCTAGGTTGTGGTCAGTCTGTCTGTTGGCCAGTTTCCTGTTTTGGAGAACACTGTGACATCAAAGGGGTTTAGCTTACTGTACATCAGTGATGATGAACTGACTTAAAAGCAGAAGGCTCTCCTGTGTTGTTATGTGGCCCATTGTCCTTTGTCAGCAGCTTGCACAGTGTTTCTTACTGTACACAGGATATATTTGGGGTGTACTCTGCAAAGTGTTAAAGTCAAGTTGTATAAAATATTGAAAGCAGGGATAATATTTAGATGGTGAATAGATTTGGTCTTGATGTGTAATGTAATGCTGTTTCCACACTTACTGTCCTGTGTTTGAGTCGACAATTTAAAAAAAACAAAACACAACTGTCAGTTTCACTTTCTCGTCATGTCGGTGCTTAAGAAAGACCACAGTGTAGAAAGTAGAACTGAATAAAAGTAGAAGAAGGGGAAATGGGTGCAAATAGGAAGCTGACAAGGGTCATCTTTGTTGTTTGTGCTCTGACTGTTTGTGGGGGAGTTGCACTGCAGAGTGGTGGAGACACACAAACACACAGACAACCGGATATAGCTGCTTCCACTTTTGTCATGTGACCAGGTTTGTGGTCACAGACGAGGAAGTTGCAGTGTCCTCCTGTCTAGAAAGAGCATGCACTAGTGAAGAATGTGTGTTGCAGAAGTGGAGTTACTTAACTCCTTGGTGCCGCATCTATGTGACAGTCTTTGTCAAAGATGTATGTCAGTGTAGAAATAGAAAACAAAAGCCTCATGCAAACAATTTAGCTTATCTTTTTTTTACACCCAGCTGTGGAAAGTGGGATTTTTTGCACTTACATTATCACTGTTGCAGTTTCACTAACCTCAGGAGGGGTTTAGAACTCAAGTGTTACATTCCTTCATGGGCTTGTTTACCTCTTTGTGTGTTTTGTGTGGCCTCACCCCAGTGACCATGCAGACTTTTCATGAAGTCCTTTAATATCACATACATAATTCAAGTAAGTGACAGTTGAAAGAGTCTAGTGACTGAAAATGTTGAGCTGGCACTCATCTTTCTGTCATCTTCCCGACATCCATGTGACCGAGGCCACCTCAGCGTAGGAGAATGTTGATCCAAGCCATGCCGTGCGCTGCTGTGTCACGTATGGCCACCCATGCTACTTCTGGTGGGTGCTGTGCGTCACTTGAGCTGGCAGGAAAAGCTCAGAGCGTTCCAAACTGGATGTTGTTGTAATCTGTTACACACAAATGCCTTTTTACTACGCTCCAGTCAGTGCGTATTTGCATACAAACACGTACATGTGTACGCATAAACACCTGTCTCTGCCCATCCCAGATCTGAATGCTATAATGTACGAAAGGTCTTTACTCAGTCTGGAAGGCGATTTGCTGCATTCTTGCTGCCAAACCAAAACTTCTAAATTGAAAGTTTAGTCTCCACCAGTGAGACAAGCATGTACGTTGAGCCTTCGTCTGGCGTCACAGTGTCAGGTAGGGGGCTCATTATGCTGTCTCTGCATTGTGCACATACTGTCCTCACTGTGGGCTGGCATGGACTAGAGCTGGGGGATATAGGTCAGCCAAAACCTGACCACAGAGCGAGGCACCAGCTGGGGCCCAGCTGAGGAAAACATGGCTTGGTATGGAGGACTCAGGAGACTTTTGGGCCGCAGTGTGAAAGATTTAGGCAACTTATGTTTGTGTTGAACAGACTGTTGGTTTAACTCCCAGCTGATACTTTGAATGGCTACATGTACTCTTAAATGGCACCTCTTCTGTGCTTTGATTATTTAGATTTTCTGCTGAAGTAAGGAAGTCTGGTTCTCTTGAAGGCCTGTGATAAATAACGTGGATTCTCTGTAGACCAGCGTGCACATGTGGGTGACTGATGTGGAAGTTGATTGGCAACGCTTGTAGTTTGAAACAGACAAACGACTCATCACGGTAATTGTGTTACATTGAAACAGGCGTGAGGGGAAATCCACCAAACAGATTCCTGCCGGTGTGTGTTTCAATTAGGACAGCACATATCTGACGGCTGACAAAGTCGAGCTAATTTCGAAATGAGCCATGTTTGGCGTGAAAACACTTACCCTGCAGAAAACCAGATGAAAAATCTCCTCCTGTACAATGATGAAAAATGTAATGACTTGGACATCTGCTGTGGATTGAAGACAAAAGTATATTGTGTACCGGGGCACGTTTCCTCTGGTGTGGTGATTGGTGCCACCACCTTGCCAGTCGATGTACAGATAACCTGTTTTACAAGGCTTCATCCAGCTGTATTTGGTCTAGACAGAGAAAAGCTATATGGAAAAGAGTTTGCTCCACGTGTCATAACTTTCTCAAAATATTTGAGATGTCAAAAGTGACAAATCTTGATTAGTGAAAACTCTTGTCCTCTGTTTTAACTCTTTTATGGGGGTGAACACTCAACAGAGGAGTCATTACTAGCTGTTGTTTGGTCTGTACAGTCTCAAAAATGATCAGTTATCGGTCTCATCAGACAGAAGTGTGTCTGTGTGTGTGTGTGTGTGTTTGAAGGAGGGTAACAGAAGCTCATATTGACAGATCTCCTGCCTCTCCCCTGCAGACACACACATACACATACCCTCTCTCTCACACACTCTATACTTCTGTGTTAGAGGAAATGGGGCAATTAAGGACAGCTTGCTACGGCTCTGCATGGGGTTAATATGCGGCTCCGTAATTAAAAATAAATTACACTTTTCCTGTATAAATATTCAAGCCCCTCTCCACTGTGTGCCACTGCCTTGTTATGGTATGTAAGCTATTTTTTCCCCCGTCTGCACAACATCTGGCGCAACATTTCCTGAAGCATCACTGGAATAAATTGAGTTTTGTCTGCCTATGAGAGATTCATTTGTGTGATGTCAGTGTGTCTAAGTGAATGGGATGGACATGCATGGCTTGAGGTTATGGGAATTGAGGAAAGTAAAAAGAAAAATATTTAAAAAAAAACACAGAGTGTTTGTGGTTGATAAAACAATGAGCTAGATTTGCATTTATAGAATCTATATTTTAAAGGAGAACACTGCAATTTATACATGTCAAAGTCTTTTAACAGGTCTTGGGGAGTACTACTGCAGATGTTAAAATAAATAAAATAAATAAAAGCTTTAAAGGTGATTGTCCAGAGATATCTGTGCAACATTTTATAAAGTGGCAATGTCATTGGAGGCAGTGTCGTTTGGGGCTGAAGGCTACAAGTTTGAAAATGAAAAGAATCTTGGTTTCTGGAGTTGGAAATAAGTGAGCTTATCAGGCATCTTTCGCCCGTTCCTCCTCTGTGCTTGGGGCTAGAGGCTCTATGCTACATTAGCCGCTTCTAGCATAACACACCCAAATCGCCAAACAAACTGTCAGTGGTCAAGTTGCATTGTAAGTAATGCAGACGGCAAGTTTTGTGGAAGAACAAGAATGTATGGAATACAGGAGACAATATCTCTGATTCTGCTGCATTGATTTTCAAACTGTCCAACTTGAGTCCAGTACTGTTTTTAGGACTGCCATGCTAAATCAGTGGAGTGCTCTTTTTAACTATACAGAAAATTAACTTTAAGTTACACAGAACAGTTTTTCTTTCCCTTCTGGCAGCATTTGTCAGCTTGAATCTTAAATTTGAACTCTGCTGGAAAGGGGACAGACGGGGCGGGGGAAAGGGTCCTGACTCCTACTAAAACCACCATTTGTCCTGCAGCTGACCTACACTAAAGGGAAAGATGGTGAGAAGATGGTCATTTTAGGGAACACTAGTGAACAGCATAGTAATTAGATTGCAGGAAATGGATTGCACTGCTGGGAATTAGAATAGAAAGAGAAAGGACAACACTGTTTTGTCATTAATCATGAAACCACAATGTAAACACAATAGTTGTGTGTCGGTCAGCATTTTGAGAATGTGAAAGCACGTGAAGTTTCTCAATAAAGGTTTGTCTGTAAGCAGAAACCCTCTGAAAATCTTACTTTATCACAAGTTATTTTTATTTTGTCTCTTTATAACTCTACAGCACTTTTCAATCTCCTTCTCATATCAGGAGAATACATCAAGACCTGGAGGCCAAGGTATTTTCTCCTGAAGAGTGATGGTACATTCATTGGCTACAAAGAGCGGCCGCAAGATGTTGACCAGCTGGAAACCCCCTTAAATAACTTCTCTGTCGCACGTGAGTATCTGCTTCAGAGAAACCACTGCATTTTTTCCCTCTCTGTTTCTTGGCAGCTTATTTTACCCTTTTTTTTCTTTGCTGCTTTCTTGTTTTTACTTGCATTGTTGTAACAAATGTGTTCTCATACTTGTTTCAATTTTACATGTATCTCGCTTCTCTATGCACAATAAAAAGTAATTATTAACAGGAAAAAACAGTTTATAAAAGACAGTGTATAAAAGTATGGAAGTGAAACACATAAAATTTTTTGACCAAGGATGCCTTTATCATTAGATGTCACTTTAAATGATTATAAATAGAAACATTAGCAAATTAGTATCATCTCAACAGCAAGTTTCTTTCAGTAGGGGCTCCGCTCCAAGGCAAAGCACGCTCTGCCACTAAACGTGCATGCAAGATGTCTGGCTCCTGACATTAATACATCAAATCATTCCTCTGCTCTGTAAGCATCTTCCCCAAACTCGCTGTTTTAATTCTATAACGGAAAATAACAACAAAAAAAAAATAAAAAATGCCCAGAGCAGCCCAGCCCACTCCATTTTCACATCAGAGAAAGTTGCTGTGATAAGCTGTGCAGATGACTGAACACAGCAATTAGACAGCATACTGTTTGTTTAACAAAATGTTTCCTCTCCGACACTCTTGAGTTATCGTGGCTATTAGCCGCCTGATTTCAAGTATTTATTTGTGCTCCGCTCTGAGGATCTGTCTCCATCAGCGGTGGCTTTGGTTTTTGTCACCACTGCGACCCCGCCACAGAGGACACATGGTGCGTCGCTGCTGACGGGGCTGCTGCAGCTGGATTACATATTCACCCTGATGGAGCCATGTTGGATCTCAGTGGTGGTCCACTCCCATGTCCTCCATCTATCAGACAGAGGCCATTTTGTGTCACGTTCTGACATATTTGCTGACATGTTTCATTTGGGAACAGATGTTAATGTGGAGGAGGTGCAGATGGAAATCTCTGCTTTCTGAATTCAGTTATTAGACTGTTGTGAGTAATTGTTTTGCAAACAGCTTACATGACAATTATTTGCTGTGAAAGTGTGAGAATTGAGGGAAATGGAGAAGATGTTCGCTTAAGATAAGAATTCTTCTGTATTGTGCTTCTCTTTTGCTGTATTGTATCATTGTAAATGTAATATGTTTGGGTTTTGGAGTGTTGATCTGAGAAAGACGTCACATTGGGCTCTGGGAAATTGTATGGAGCGTTTTTAATTTTTTTGTGACATTTTATAGACAAAATAATCAATCAGTCAATTTGCACATAAACCCATAATGAAAATGGTTGTAAATACAAATGATCTGTAGCCCAGCATGTAAAAAAAAAAAAAACACTATGTATTTGGAAAAATATACAGTATGTGTTCAGTTGTAGAATTGCAAACTGGACTGTTATTCTAAAGAGTTTTACAGGATGTAATACTACATAGACTCTAAATAATTATCAAAACCTACATTATCAAATGTTCATTTTTAAATGGGGCTGACAAGTTAAGGATCTGAGTTGTTTTCCTTTGCACCTGTTCCTTACCAAATTGGCCGACAGTGTCTGTTAGGGTGGCGATAAAGATAAATGGCTATAACTGTGGGTCTTTCTCTTCCCTCTGCACCCCTACACATTGGCCCTTCTTGCTGTCTCCCTACCCTCCCTCCCCTCCCTCCTTGGCTATGGTCAGAGTGCCAGCTGATGAAGACGGAACGGCCCAAGCCCAACACATTTATCATCCGCTGCCTGCAGTGGACCACTGTCATCGAGCGCACCTTCCACGTGGAGACCCCCGAGGAAAGGCAAGCGAGAAGCACACACCTCTCAGCTCACAGAGCCGTAAAACAGAAATCATTTACATGCAGAGAATTTGCCCCTGTTGCTAGAAAGCAGTTTGGCCATTTAAGAGTTTTGTGTTTGTGGAAACGCACACAAACATAGACATTTAATCATTGTTATGCACTTGCACAAGGTCCACTGGCTATTGGCAGAACTCGCATTTGAAATTGGCTTCCTGTTGATAAGAAGACAATTACATGATTGGGCTGCTGGGCTTGCATGATGGTAAATGGGCTGATGTAATCTTTCTGCTGCCTGTGCTTCCCTCAGGGAAGAATGGACTAAAGCCATCCAAGCAGTGGCTGAAGGCCTACAGAAACAAGAGGAGGAGATGATGGACTCCTCTCCAGACCCCATGGACATGGAGGTCTACCTGACCAAAATCAGACACAAAGTGGTACGGCCCATTTACACTCTGCACTGTATCGTCTTCTCTCTGATGTCGCCACATTGACACACTTCAGAGGCCATTAGCATAAACCCTTTAACTTAACTACCTTTATTCCTCACCACCCTGAGTAAATCCTTATCTTCCAAGTTGACCATTTCTCTTTATCTCCACCTTCCTTTGCCTTTCCTCTGCTACTCTCTACTTTCCCAACATCAGCCCTGTGGGTGGCTTAGCACCAGATAGCATGTCCACCAGGTTTCACCACCCCACGTTTTGTGACATGAAGGTCCAAGGCTGCCGTATTGGATGTCCGCCACACAACCATTTTTAACATTCACTTTAGCGTTTGGGTCAGAGGTTAACTGAGACACAACTACATATAGTTCAAACCATTAGAGGAGTGGACATTGCATGGTGTGTGAAATACTGTCTTAAATGCTTCTGTGTTGTTGTTAGTGGGATTGTGTGTCCTGGCTAGTTAGGGCATGAGTTTGTTAATGCTTCTGTTTGTAACCAGATGCCACTTTCTCTCCCCTGGCTCTCCAGACTATGCACGACTTTGAATACCTCAAACTCCTGGGAAAAGGCACTTTTGGCAAAGTTATCCTGGTAAAGGAGAAGGCCACAGGACGCTACTACGCCATGAAGATCCTAAAGAAGGAGGTGATCGTAGCAAAAGTGAGTGGATGCCAATGAGCAAGTAAACAGGAGAAAAGACACGGGGGGGGGGGGCAGTGGAGCAATGGAGCAATGACTGATACCTAAATGGTTAGCCATTGTGAGAGTTGCACAAACACTCTTTGTGACTTTTTTTTGTTGCTTTTTTTCCAGGATGAAGTGGCGCACACACTCACAGAGAACAGAGTCCTCCAGAATTCAAAGCATCCGTTCTTGACAGTAAGGAGCCCCCTCGTATACCTAAACCAAACCTTAATTTAACTCCCAGAGATCTTTGGGAGCCTCTCGCACCCAACCCAGCATCATCCATTGAGAAAGGGGCAGTTCTATCAGGGATGTTTTGAAGAGTTGTTCTTACAAAAGCTGCAGTCGAGCTGAGCCTTTTATAACAACACTGGATGTTTATTTATTTATTTTTTTTATCCGTTAACCTTTTCTGTAAGTCTGAGGTGGGTTGTAGTGAAAAGCTCCTCCAAAATGTTCAGTCTAAGTGGTGGGTGGAGGCGACACATAATGCGATATGCTCAGTGCAATGAATGGGGCCAATGTTTGCCACACAACAGCTGGAACTGGATACACTATGCTGTCGGGTTTTTAAAAGAATTTTCTTCTCATTAGATGTTTGTTTTTAAAAATGGAACTTAAAGGGTCAAAGCAGCAACATGCATTGTGATGTTTCATGTTAACAATCAGTAGTTTAAATGCCAGCTTCCTCTTGAATTAGTGGGAAACATCACCAAGTTCTGCTTTGACTGTTCTCGTTCTCTGTATGCAGGGACTGAAATACTCCTTCCAGACACATGACCGCCTGTGCTTTGTCATGGAATATGCAAACGGCGGTGAGGTAAATCATTTTAACAATCACTATATTTGCACCTTTAGGTCTCGGTGAATCAGAATACAGTTCAAAAAGTGTTGCTGTTTCTAAATTCCTTGCACTAACCAACTCTCTCTTCATCTGTTTTCTGCCTTCTCTTCTTCTGTCAATCTCCCCTGTTTCCCCTCAGCTTTTCTTCCATCTGTCAAGGGACCGTGTGTTCTCAGAGGAGCGGGCTCGGTTCTACGGTGCAGAGATAGTGTCAGCGCTGGACTACCTGCATGCTGAAAGAAACGTGGTCTATAGAGATCTAAAGGTAGGTGGGGAGAGACGTCCTCGCTTTCTCTCATCCTCGCTGTGAGCCTCTGTCTTCTGTATTTCTTTCTCCCTTTTCCCCCTTCGCTACCTTTCTCCCCTGACAGGATATAAATAGGGTTTGCCTCCATCCAGAGCGGTGACAGCGGCCAGGGCTTATTGATCCGCCTCCCCGAGATCAGTCTCCAGACCTCACTGCAGCTGGAGGGAGGCTCGGTCCATACGCTTTCTGCAGCTAGACAGAAATAACCACCAGTCCTCTTTGAACAGATCACCACCGCCTCCTATTATATCATGCTTACAGTGCTGTCAGTGGGTGATTTTTGTGCACGATTGATGTCATTTTATATCCTATAACAGTCCAGCACTATTAGTTTGCAAATAGAAATCAATCATAATCGTAAAGTAAGGTTTTGGCTGTTGTTTTTTTTTAGTATTTGCGTTCAAAAGCCAAACAAAAGTCTAATATTCTAAAGATGGTATCAGAGATGGATGCTTTAGGGTGGTTATCAGTGTTGCAGTGAGCATCTGTAGCCCTACTACTTCCAGCCGATAAAACTATACCAGCCAGGTCAGCACAGCACTCCCTCCCTCCCTCCCTCCTTCCCATGGGTTTATGAGGCAGGCTCCCAGCCTGCTAGGGTTCTCCTGAAAATGCCAGGGTAGCAGGATTGGAGGATGTGCTGACTCTGGCCAGGCGCTGCTGGCCACGTGTGAGCTACAGCTGCCAGGTGACTTTAACTGATAGAGTGAGACAGAGAGAGAGGGAGGCCATACAACCTTAAGTCATCACACTGCATGATGCACATCTTTGAGGCCTTTAGGTCAATTTACTGTAATGTAAATCACTAGGTACATTTCCATTCACAAGTGAATTTTCAAACAGTAGAAACAGATTCTTCAAATAGACCTTTGTCATGGTACTTGCATAAGTCTAATCTATTGTAGAACTGTCATTCATGACATGCTACCATTCACTCTTAGAAGCTGAGCTGTTACCACAACATTGCTGGTGTAATTTAAGATGGGGGATTTTTGCATCTCACCTCTTCCTATCACCATAGCTGCAGACACAAACACCACAAAGTACACAGGGATTAGGTGACCAATTCATTCATTAAAAAAGAAATGACACTTTGGGTGGTAAGCAGCAATGAAATGTCATCAAAATTACTGGTGCTTGAAATTCACTTAATAATTGCATAATAATTTGATGGAACCATAACTAACAATGATGTTCATTTATAAATGATTACTCCCATCACCTCTCAGAATGGTTTGCTTGTTAACTCCCCTGAACATTGAGTCAATTTACAATGACGCTAACATCCGTCTTCTGTCTGTTTCCCCCTTAGCTTGAAAACCTCATGCTGGACAAAGATGGCCACATAAAGATCACAGATTTTGGCCTATGTAAGGAGGGGATCAAAGATGGCGCTACCATGAAAACATTTTGTGGTACACCAGAGTACCTAGCACCTGAGGTAACCACTACAGGAATTCAGTCTACCTGAAATATTGACTTTACCCTTTCTTGCAACAAAGTCAATTTTATGTAGACACAAATTAAAATAAAAATAAACATGAAGTCTTGTGTCAGGCCACTTTAGAGCTGCCAGAACAGCTTCCAAGTCTCAGAAAGTCCTATGGAGGGATGAACACTATACTACAATGATGTTGGGGGAGAAAGCTAAATTGTTGTTCCAAAATCTCCCATAGGATTTCAAATTGATGATCACCAGCATTCATTATGTTCCTTCACTTCAGTTTTCCCCTTTAATTTTTATTTGATAAGTTTTTCAGATGTATGAATATAAGAGCTCAGGGCTTTCTATAATGTTACTTAATACACAAAGTAAAATCATTTTGATTGCAGTAGATAAAGAATAACATAATGCGTGACATGAGTAGACTCTAAACAGAGATGCAGCGTGTGTTGTTGGACATCAGTGGATGAGAAGCATGTGGAAGAAAGGGCAGCTGTCCCAAAATGCCTTTCTAATCTCCAGCTGAAGTCTGAGTTAATGAGTGTGCCGTGTGCCCAGGGTAGGGCAGCCTGCTCTCATATTTGCTGTATGTGGAGGGGGAGTGGCTACTCCCTATTGCGTGTAGGTATGACAAGAGTTGGAGTGGTCTGTGTAACCTGATATTGCATTGTGAGTGGAGGCAGTGTGTAAGTGTTTGCGCTAGCCTGTTGCCCGTAAAAATGTTTTCCAGGAGAAGGATGTCCATGTTGACACAGTTGCCGTATCGTTGCTTTTAGCCTCCATTTGGAATTTTCTGGTTGGGGGGAGGAAGAGGAAACGTGAGCTTCCGCTACTAAAAAAAAAGGACCTTCACATTGGCTACAGCTGTTGTGTGGCACCAGGGGAGCCACAGCCCCACTGGTGCCCTGGATGCCTTGCCTGACCTGGGCAGAGCGTCATAGGAACATGTTTTTTTTCATCAGACCAAACTTGCTCCCCACCTGTCCATCCTAAACTGTCTAGCCCACTTCACTACTGCACAGAGTAGCACACTCTATGACCAGCCTCGGCAGTGGAGTGCGGGGAGACGACGGGGCGTTACTATGGCAACAGGGTCGCTGGCGAGCGTCTCTATGGAGTATGGGCCAGGCAGTGTTACAGGTTGTTCTGCAGTAAACAATGACCTTGTTGTGTGTGCTGCACAGGAATGCTGTAACGTCTGGGAATATTCCACCCAGAGCAGGGGGGAGAGAGAGGGAGGAGAGATCCAATCTGCAAAACCCTGACCAGTTTGTCTCTGGAGTAAGGAGTGGGACAAATTCACTTTGTTACTTCTATTAAGTAGTTACAAGAAAAAACCCATTATCGGCTGAGGGAATTGGCATTAGAGATCATCTATATGGAAAAATTTGGACAGGTTTTAATCTAGCCACTGAAAGTGATCAAGATTCACAATCATGGAATATTAATGGCTCTCAGTGCAGAATTTTGTGAGCAAAAGTGCAGTATACAGAGCAGCAGCAAGTGTTTGTGCTTTTATGCGCTGTCTCCTCCCCCTGTCTCTGCTCCTTTGGGGCAGTGTAACAGTATTAGTTTGGGGCTGAGGCCCAAGCAGGCAGGCAAGCAAGCAGTCCTGATTACGTATATGAGGGATGAGCTTGGCTCCTGCGCTCCTGGCAGCTTCACAGCTGTGGCGCTCTTCTACATATATGGGGCAGCTGCGGGCCCAGCTGTCGCACGGTGTGAATCACACGACAGCAGCGCTGGAAATAGAGACGGCCCAGTAATCCTAGCCCCACACCGGCTTCACGTTACACTCCCTGCCCTCCCAATCCTCCTCTTCGATGCTCACCACTCACCGCAGAGCCAGGCCGAGTGCCCACAGACACATGCGCGGCTGCCTGTGCGTGCACACAAACACGCACACACAGTAGTTTTGTTCCTTTTACGGACACATCCGTCCATCTGTTTTCCAGGACCCTCTCTCTCGCCCTGTGCATATCTAATTCTATTAATCCGCCCACGTCTTTTTACCTAAGTTTCTATTCTTAGGTCTGAATTGCCTAGCATCGTGCTGCTTGAGGTTTAAGAGGACAGACTGTTCTCATTGTCTTGATTTCACCTTCAACATCCGCCTGCCGAGGTAGAATCCAGTACATGTCCCCAGAGACCTTGGAACAACTCTGCTCAGCAGCACATTATTCATGCAACAGGCTGTGCTGTTCAGTAATCACAACACTGGAGGGGTTTGTCTCATTAAGAAGCATTGAGAAAAGTCATCCTATGGAAATAATAAGACTAAATGTTTCCCTCTCTGACTCTGGTTGTGTTTATTGAGCGGTTTGTTTGTAAGACTGTTCTGTGTTTGTTGCCACACTTTGGCTTATTTAAGCGACCCACACCTCTGCTGCATGTTGATCTGTGTATGTGTGGAAGGCCCTGTGGTGATTAAATATGCAGTCCTCCAGGGGAAACTCTATCCTTGCTCCTAATGTGAGATGTGAGTCAGTGTTGGCTGGGGTTGCCTCAGAAGCCAAGACCTGGGGGGGAGCAGGTGATTTAGGTGCGGGTGGGGGGACAACCCAGTTGCTTTAGGGTTTATATATTCAGCCTAAAGAGCTGCTGTTTTCACAGCCTTCTGGTGTTCAAACACAACCTCATTGGTTGAGTCCTAACTGTTAGTACAAAACCAAGGCAACATTTTCTTCGCTAGTTGTACAGTTATTCTGTGAAAAAAGGTATTTAGATATTTTTTTATACAACAACACTTCTGTCTTATAATAAAGTAAAGAAAAAAAACTAGCTACATGGTATACCCCCTCCAAGTAGCGTCCTAACAGCTGCATTAAATAAACTTTTGCAAGGTGCTAGAAGACAACGACTACGGCCGTGCAGTGGACTGGTGGGGTCTGGGGGTGGTGATGTACGAGATGATGTGCGGCAGACTGCCTTTCTACAACCAGGACCACGAGAAGCTGTTCGAGCTCATCCTCATGGAAGACATCCGCTTTCCCCGAACACTCGGTCCAGAGGGACGCTCGCTGCTCTCCGGCCTTCTTAAGAAAGACCCAATGCAGAGGTGAGCACCCTCTACTGTGTCGACTACCTTAGGGAATGTCAAAGTGGGAGTCATCAAATTGTTTATGATTTCTTTTTTTTTTTCAAAGAGGCAGCTGCCAGTTTGCATATTTATTGATGCTGTTTCTGTCACAACACATCCTGATTTGCTCCTTTACACTCGTCTTCCAGGTTAGGTGGAGGGCCGGACGATGCCAAGGAAATCATGCAGCACAAGTTCTTCGCAGGAATTGAATGGCAAGATGTTTATGAGAAGAAGGTCAGTTTCTAAAATGTTCATGTTGCTTTGTAATTTTCTCCCTCATGATGGTCGTCACTGAAAGGACCCCAAGCTCAGATAAACGTCATTTCCCCCCAGGGATCGATATTGTTACGTCACTAAAAACCCCACCATGTAGAAACGATGTAGATTGTCATCAGGAGGACATCTGTTATCAAACTGATTGACGGCGCTGATGTGCTGATATGCTTGTGTCTCTTCTCGTCTCCCAACAGCTGGTCCCGCCGTTTAAGCCCCAAGTTACCTCGGAGACGGACACACGATATTTTGACGAGGAGTTCACAGCACAGACCATCACTATTACGCCACCCGGACAAGGTAGCACCAGCTTTGCTTGTGTGGTATAACCCAACTTAAAATCATCAAGGTGTACAAAGCTCCCCTGAGAGGAGTCTCCCCTCTCCTGGAGAGTCAGTGTCATTAAAACATAGTACCATTCCTCACAAAGTCATCAGATGCATGTGAATGTCAGCTAGTGAGTAAATGCTTACTATTACTGTAATGCAGCTTCTACGGCTATTAAAGGTCTGCATTCTACTGAATATTATAATTACATCTAAGACAACATCAAGCCTGTTATAACAATACAACATCGTATCGCCCAGCTAGTGGAATAATTACATGAATATGTGCTTCTTCAAGGAGTAGGCATTATAGTTCTCCATGACACTACTTTACATTTTCTGGGAATTCAATTCGGAAACTGTTAATGGATAAAGCAACCAGGCAAGAATGTCTGTGTGTCTAATCCAGTAAATTAAATATCTGACCGCTCAAGAAACATCACATTGATGCAAAATTCTAACTAAAATCTAATTTATCCATAAGAGTCCTTGTCATTGATTTGCTACATTGCTTACCATGGTCTAATACACCCAGATATATTCAAGATGGAGAAGGCAAAAACATCTGACGGTAGACACATGGATATTGTTTCACAGTATGTACTTAATGCCCACTGAGCTGTTCAAAATCTAAGCAGTTCTTTGCCCTCTATGCAGATGACAGCATGGAGTCATTTGACAGCGAGCGGAGACCCCACTTCCCCCAGTTCTCCTACTCCGCCAGTGGGACGGCCTAAACGACTCTGCTACATTCTTTTGGTCCCACCATCTCCCCTCACCCCACCCGACTGCACTCTCGAAAGACCAGGGACCGCTGCCCCGTCCTCCCAGCATTGTCTGCAGATGCCGTTGGTGGATGTAACATTTACATTCTGCAAGTTGTGTTTTCCAGGAAGGAGGAAATTCAAGACAAAACAAAAATAGCTGTGGTTGTTCTGCAAGGCCTTTTTTGAAGACTGACCACAGAGAGAGAGAGAGAGAGAGAGAGAGAGAGAGAGAGAGTTAACACTACTCTGTATTTCCTGGTTGTTATGTTGTATACTGAGCAGGCATCCATACATCATAATGAATGGGAAAATGTAGTTATGCTATGCACAAATTGGGCCACTGATGTGAATTTTGAAAAGGGCCATTTTGTATTGAAAATATACAACTGAATATCGATCAACCATTTCAAATAGGAATAGGCATACTGTGGACCAAAAACATGTGAGCAGAAAGTGTGTTGTTTTGTTGAGTGGGTAATAAATCCATGTTTTCCTCTCTACGACTTCTGAACAACTCAAGTACCATTCAGACTTCAGGACATTTTTTGGGCTTCAAAAGTGAATGTACCGTATCAAATAAAGTCAAACTTTCTGCATACTTGTTGTAACACATGGCTGATTCTCCTAAGACTGAAATACCATCTTCTGTAGATGGTGAGATATTTGTATGCCCTTTTTTCTACTTCATTGATGCAAAACTGACACCAATCAAGGCTGTTGTATGGTCATGCTACAGCAAGATGAGTCTGAGTCAGTTGTGCAGCAACAGTCTGATATGAGGATTGACAGACATGCAAAAGAATGCGGTGATTAATTATTAAGATAAAAGCTGCCCTGCGATGTATTCCGCTTAACTGTTAGCACATCCGACTCACTGAGAGACCCTCCGTTTCCTGTCCAGGATAATAACACCCCCCCCCCCCGAAGTAAGTGCTTGTAGTTCCTGATGCCTTCCTCTCTCGATGCTGTGCTGCAGACACCTCCTGGTTTCCCTCTGATCAGGGTCAGTCTGTGCTGAACTCTTCTTTCCTCTGGGTTTTTCCTCCATGTACAGTACAGTATTGGGTGTTTTCCACCTGGTGCATTCACTGCAGCCTCAATGAGGTCACTTAAAACATAATAAACCTCTTTAAGGAATACTTTGCAAACAAACTGGGCTTCAGGGGAAAAAACACATCTTTGATTTGCTACTTTAGGGGACATCTGTCCCTTCACGAGCTTCTGAGTTATTTATGAGACCAGCATTGACTAAAATGAGTTTTACTGTGCCAATGATATGCACTTTGCTGCCCCAAAATGATTGTATCTGGACTCTTATTGTACTTCATGGTTGGTAAAGACTAAATTAGCTTATTTTATAATGTAAAAATTCAAATGTTGTGGATACAAATAAAACACGGTTTGCTTGTTTAAATGATTACTCCCCTTTTACAGACAGCTGAGGCTAACAATGAGACTCTTAAGTAGGCTACTGAAACTCTTGTTTCAAAGCGTACTAAGAAAGTTCCAAAAGCACCTCAGTATTTTTCAGATGACAGACGATAACTTTCTAAAAGTGCATCATACGTTATTGAATGTAATGGTTTTTATATTGTTTTCACTTCAAACCTTTAAGTTTTTTGAATCTGTTACTTATTCCTATGCACGCTCCCCCTTTGCTGTCACCTTCTGAAAATAGGGAAATTCATTTTATACTTTTGATTTTTTACTTCATCTTATTTTTTTTTGTACCTGCCCTCCCATACTCCTGAGACTGAGGACACCAGCTTTAGTAAACAAATAATATAAACTTTGTACACTGTTTTTACTTGTTTCTTTTGAATTGATGAAATAAAAAAAGGTCTTAACAATAAGCTGTGTAGACTAATTTTGTTGTTTGTTGTAATTTGTGTAATTGTGAAATCTCAAAGCGAAAAATAAATTAATGTCATATTTGGGTAAATAAACAGTATTGTGAAATATTGCTTAGACATCTCCATTGTTTTTCACTCAAATGTCCTTCCTGGGCTTTCCATTAGCACCTGGTCATGTCCGTCCTCATCTTTCATTCCTTGTTTTTTCTCCCTGATGTATTTTACTAACCTGTTTAACACAAGGTTACTTTAGTTTAATGAAATGTGCCACATCAATTCTGATTTTACATAGATATGCAGGATTTAAGACTTTTTATTTCCTTTAAATTGCCAAAGCTACACCAGCAGGATGTTTGTTTATCTAAACCTCACTGATTGCACATTACAGATAAAACACGGCTAAGTGCGTGAGACAAATGTCCCAGCGCTCAGCTCGGCTCTGACTGCGTCTTGGCTGTGTTCTCTGCCTCTGCAGGACCGCTCAGGTCCACGTCTGGGGCTCTGCAGCTGGTCTGAGACGGGAGAGATGCTCCCCCCGGGCCTCGGGCAGATGGTGAAGTCTCTGGAGCAGATGTTGACAGCCAGGGCTCACAGTCTGTCTTTTGGCCAGCTGCAATACCCAGCGCCACGCTGTGAGACCGAGGCTTGGCCCAGTGTGGCGCTCACCTGACAACCATCCCTCACCTGACTCCAGCTGTACTGCCCAAAACACACCGCAGAGCCAGGGTTGCAGCTCTGCCACAGGCCTCCCCTGGGTGATGTAGTGCGGTGCTGTGTGAGCAACGTGTCACTCACACAGTGTGCAAGCCAGAGCTCCTCTCTTCTTTGTAGAGAACTATTTTTCAGGATAAAGCCATTATCCCCTATTGATTTTGCTTTTAGAATCTATAGAAATTATAAATGAGAAGTTGTGACCAATGTGAGGAGTTTGAAACATGAAACATCCAAATCCTATTTAGCCACTTTTACTTTATAAAAGTCTCTGTGTAATGTACTTCACTTTAAACTGTTTTATAATTTACCACTAAGAGAATTTGTCCCTTAATCTCAGTGGTGAGAGTGCAAGATCAGCTTCATAGAGACAGGCCTGGAGCTTGTTCTGGGTTTTGCTCATGGACACTTCAGCAGGACTGATGCTGACTGCAATACCCTGCTGCAACTGCAGCAAGAGCATGCAATCATCAGTAGGAGACAGTGAAAGCAAGAGGAGCACGTGGGACAAGATAAAACATAACCCGCTACCTGGATTGAAAACTCACTCGGTGTGGTGTCTTGCAGTTTAACCTGTCAAACTGTCTTCAGTGAAAAAGTCCTGCTGCGGATTCGTTGGACTTGGTGGAAGAAAGTGGTGTCATGGTTTTTTGAAAGAGCAGGGTTTTCTTTTCTTACAAGGAGGAGTTTTGGTGTGACAGAAGTTAGGGCCTTAGTCCCTTAGTCCCTTGATAACATTAACGCTGGTACCATCCAGTGGGGTAAACCCACCTAAACTTAGAATAAGGAAAATCCAAATAGTCAGAATAGTGCAGCTAGAATCGTACTTAAAAACTAAACATTTGACTATATAATACTAACTTCAGCTTCCCTGCATTGGCTTCCTATCCATGTCAGATCAGAATTTAAGGTACGTCTGGAATAATCTCCCTGATGACATCTGAATCTGTTGAGGCCTTTATATCCAAATTTAAAACTCATCATTTTGCCTTAACTTTAAGTTATTGTACTTACAGTCCATGTTTGTCCTGTCGGTGAAAAAATTGTAAACTTTCTTGTGTCCCACAAACAGCTGTGTGCCACTTTCTCTCTCTCTCTCTCTCTCTCTCTCTCTCTCTCTCTCTCTCTCCCTAGTTTCTCCTCCCTGTCCTCTCTTTTCACTCAAGCCTCTCTGTTCTGGACCATCGGCTGTACTGGGACTGGGACTCTCTCACTCTCCTGGCTGTCAGTGCCTCATTCCAGATGTTTTGATCTGGATCTTCATCCTCCAGGAGCTTCTCGTTTTTGGGGGGAGTTTTTCCTGATCTGAATGGAGTGTTTAAGGATACAGGGTTTAGTATACTGTACAGCCTCTTGATGCAAATTCTGTGATTTGTGGTATTGGGCTACATAAATAACTTTTATTTGTAAAATAAACTGTAAAAACATGTACTTTGTGGGAAGATTGTTTCAGCAAATGGTAGAGCTGCTTTTCCTCACATGGATACTGACTGACATTTTCCTCTTTTTTTTAAAATTTACTTCCCGTGGTGGAAAGTACATTTACTCACGTACTGTGCTGCTGTACAATTTTGAGGTATTTGAGTATTTCAATCTTTTGCCACTTTATTCTTATGGAAATGTTGTTTGTTTGTTTTTTACTCCACTACATGTATTTTATACATTTAGTTACTACCTACTTAAATAATCCATAAATAAATTATTATGTAGTATTATGGATAAAAAATACAATTGTATTAATCCTGTGGGGAAATTCACACCCAGCAATAAATATAGTCCAAAACTAAGCTCCATCTTTACCAGCTGCAACATTAAAGTAATGTACATAGAAATGCATTCATAATTAGAATTCAATAATATAGTATACATTGTTCTGAAATGGGCCATTCTGTGTAATGGCTAATTTAACTTTTTATAATTTAAGTATATTTTGAAGCTAATACTTCTGTACTTTTACTTAAGTCAAATTTTGAATGCAGGACAACAGAGTATTTCCACACTGTAGTATTGCTATTGCTGCTGAGTATTTCTTCTGCCACTGCTTAGGCCTAGCCTACTACTCAGATCAGATATCAGTGTGTGCTGAATGGGATCAATGAATGAGTATATTTGAAGCCTAATATGAACACAGAGAGACGTTGTGATTGGGTGGCCTCATTCAAATTGCCCTTAACATCCTGAATTTATCTTGTGACAAAACATGTTTTGCTGGAGATCAATAGGAAGGCTACCTTGGAACTAGAGCGCCATCTAGCGGGTATTTGGCTTATGTAAAAAGTATTTCCCTTGGATTAATATTCCACATCCACTCTTCATCACAAAGCAAATAGACTAGATATTTCCTGTTTTATGGGATTAGATAGACTGCGTAGCCCACTGCGAGTTGAATTATAACGTAGCCTTTTGCAATTACTGGTGTCTCCTGGGCTCTACATACTTTTCAACAACAATCCATCCATCCATCGTCAACCAGTAGGAGACGATGTAGGAGCGTACTGGGTCGCGGGGTTCAACAACAATAATTTGAACAATTTCATCACTATTTGAATGTCAAATCCAGTATATTCCCTGAGGCAGCAGTTTTAACTACTATTTTAGCTGACACAGAAAAGCAACACTTTTCTTTTACTTTGATCTGATATCCTTTCCTTTCTGTTGTCCCGCTCGGTAAACAAAGTCCTATCGGGCAGTGAATATAAACGAAGATCGTCTATAAAGATGATGAATCTCCGGAGGGTTAAAAGTCTAGAACGGTCTGCAAAAATAGTCTCTAGACTTTACGCATGCGCTCTACACCTGTAGTAATGGATAAATTCCTACTGGAGCCCATACAGAGAGCAGCTTTCTGTGCACGGATTTTAAAATCTCCCCAGTTACGACGTTGTCAGACACATTACCATATTTGTATCTTTTCATCATATTATTAACAAGATGAGGATGAAGGCTAACTGTCGCTCCTTGTCAGATAATCTGTCATAGCCTACAGTAGTAAGTACGCACATTTACTGTACTGTACTTAAGAACATGCATTTAAATTTTATGTCACTTTGTATTTTGATCACACCAAAGTTCACACGCACCTTCTTCACACACACCTTTGTTCACACGCACCTTCTTCACACGCACCTTCTTCACACACACCTTTGTTCACACATACCTTCGCAGCGAGCAAGGTGCCCCCTGATGACAGTTTGGGGTTCAGTGTCTCGCCCAAGGACCCTGTGATTAGTGGATGAGCCGCTCTGCCTGCTGAGCAGCAGCAGCCCTAACAGTTAATGTTAGGTACTTTGCAGATTGAAATTCTCTTTGAAATGATATGATAAATTATCCAAAAGTTTTTAAGTCTATAACAAATATTGTACTTCTGCAGGCTGATATCAATATTGATATTTTTGAATTTATTTGTATTTTTATTGAGATTGAAATACACAGAGCACATTTTACAGTAGAAAAATAAACTTGTAGTGTTACACAAACTACATAATGACATTCTTTCTAAATGATCTTAAACATGTTTTGCAACTGCCCCTGGGGGATAAATAAAGTGTTTTGAAATTGAAATTGAAATATTCTGACATTTCTGTACTGCAGTTTCTTGTCACTTATGGGCCGACATATTGATACAGCAATATCTGCAACAAGATAATATTGGCCTGGCTGTTTCAGTTTATCAGTCTAGCTCTACGATAAAGTAGTTAAAATTAGCTTTACGTTGAACTGTTTCAACATTAAAATGCTGCCTACATGTTTATACATTAGTAATAATAATCCAGTAAGATTATATAACTCCCTGTAAAGACACTTTTGTTATTTTTTTTTTTACATTTTGTTGATAATATTTCTGTTTTTGTTCTTTAAGTAAATTATTATTAAGTAAAAGTATTTACAATACACAACTACTTTAGGGTTGTTAGAGTTATGATACTATTTATTGATTATTTTTTATTATTAGAGTATTGATACTTTTACTTGAAAGTAACTAAGAAAAAGTTATCATTTTACTAAAGTACAAGTACTTTACTTACCTTTAATTACCCAAAACAAAATTTTAAATGAAGCTCCACTGGAACACAACAAATCATAACATACAAATATTATTTGTCTGTATTAAATACATAGCAATACTAAATAATACTAATATTGATGTTTTATGCATGTAACTTGTTTTTCTGCACCCAGAAAACCAACAGAGTGAGCGCTCCTACCTGCCCGCACCTCTCGGCTCAAACTGCTGAAGCCCTTTGACTGGACTTGTCAGGCTACGTCACCGGGTCGGCAGCAGAAGAGGC